TGCAGCCACTGATATTAGAACATTTGGTGGTGCCAGAAGAAGAATTCGGAAAGCAGAGAGGTCAGCTCAAGCCTGTAGATAACAATATGGCCATGTCCTTTTTTCTTACAATTCATCTTATCACAATGGCTTTACTTAACACAAGATATATTACAATATATGCTGGGTACAGAACGGACCAACACTCAGTGTGTACAGTTGACTGTCTGACAGAAGGGACATGCTGGAAAACCAGCACCTGGCCAGCAGCCGATCAGCGCTGGCAGCCAATGGCTTTGAGAGCTGCTCAGTGTGTCCTGGCGGGGGCAGTCCCCTTGTCAGAACACAACAGCTCAGAGAGGCAGATTGCCGCACTAACATCGCATAGTTACTGAAAGAGCTCATGGTCCCTGTAATAACTGAAATCAGAAAGATGTGCCCATGTTTGGCCAAATTCAGGCATATCAAGCCTATAGCCCTGCAATAATTTAAAGTGGTTCTAAAGCCAAAATGTTTTTTTTTAAGGTAAAGGTAACAGCTTGCTGTCCTCAACCACCTCCCTAAATAGTTATCGGAGTCCTCAATCGATCCAGTGCTGTACATGGCTGGATCTCTCCTTTCTCTCTTCACACAGGAACTCTGGCAGCAGCAGGAGAGATTGGCTCCTGCTGCTGTCAATCAAATGCTGTGTGAAGAAAGTGGGGGCTGGGCCAAGCACTTCTGTGCGTGTCTATTGAGCATGGCGTGAGAGCAGCAGCCTGCTATGGGAATACACAGAAATAAGGAGGAGCTAAGAGCACTGACAGGAGACCCCAGAAGAAGAGGTTTGGGGCTGCTCTGTGCAATACCATTGCATAGAGCAGGTGAATATAACATGTTTACTATTTTAAATGAAAAAAAAATGCCTTTAGTAACACTTTAATATATGCATTTTTTAAAGGGACAGAAGCATTGATTTGTTATGTCTCCTTTTTTATGCATACTTGGTTACACTGATTGTTTTATCTCGTTTTAGATTTTGCCGGATGTTCTGTAAAAGGCATACATGATGTAAAAGCAATGAGATTTATTTTTAGGTTTTTACAATAAAAAATATATGTAAGGGAGATGGAAATATGATACAGGTCTACACATTTAAAAGCAGCACAGGGGCTTTATTTATTGAATGATTGCTAGTAGCAAGTGATTTCTAAACATAGTTCTTTCCTTTATTAAAAGACCTGTGTTAATAAGGCAAACAGCAATGTATGTAGCAGCCCCGTGACAACAAACTAGACGCAATCACCCTTTACATACTCCTATAAACAAGTGAAAAGTAAAATCTTACCGAGTAAAGTTTGTATTATTCTAAAAGCTAAATGTTAAAAATGAATCCTGTTCTTTTAACCTTCTTGAGGGAAGGCATAAACTTATCTATTCAAAGAAAGTTACAAGTAATCCCCCCATAACTGTGCTTACCTAGCAGCACAAAGAGCACCTTTCGTTATTACTGTTTTGCGACATTTTCAGCTAACAGGCAGCCCATATGGCAAACACATAAATTAGTAGTAAGCAGAGGTGGTTTATTTACGGTGACATGAAAGCAGTTGCCAACAGAAAGCTTGTATCTGGTTCAAGTGACCAATTAACGTGTCTGTTAATCTCAGAACATAAACATGTAATATTGCAGTCTACCAGTCCTTAAATGTGGTCGCTGAATTAGTTTTCTGTTTTTATTATATCTTTTCCTTTATGTTTTTAAAGTGATCCAACCAGTAACATACTCCCTCTCTTATGCCCAGTACACAGGAAGAGAAAATCGAGAGAACAGCACCCCCCCCCCCCACCCTGCATTTGATCGCTTAATAATCTATTCTTTAACACACAGCTTTTGAGAACAAATCACAATAGTTCAAGCAAAATTATTTGAAGGGACAACCATGAAAATTTTTCTTGTTCGATAGCAGAATGAACAGGTTTTGTTTAATCAGTAGAGTATTTGTCCGTACAAAAAAAAAAAAAAAAAAAAAAAAAAAGAAAGAAAAGGTGATCAAGACTGCACATGCTCAGAAACACGAAAACAACCCAGAAGTAAAAAGGGTTTTCAAGTTTCATTGTTTTCAAGACATGAACAAATCATGTGCACAGACCAATGCACGAATATGCCGCAACACTCCAAATAGGTATAGCTGAAGGCGTGGCAAACAGAGGTTCACATGTACATGACATCACTTCCGATTACATGCTGGTACACTACTACAGACATGGGAAGTTGTACTGGATTGTACAAGAATTTTCGTACACTTAGTAGCACCCTTGAACCTGATATGAGTGCAGCACGCAAAAAAAAAAAAAAAAAAAAAAAAAAAAAACACGATATGTTCGATTTTCTCATCAGGTGTACTAGACATTAAGGTGGCTCCTCTATCTATGAAGGAGCAATTAGGACACCCTAGGGCAACAGCACTGTCTGGGGAGGGCAGTGCTACATGGACTAGCAGATGGCTAACAAATTAAAGTCTAAATCCAGTCAACACTTTTTAAGCAGGTAGAGCAACAGATTTTGTATTATAAGCACCCATATCTGTATTGAATGGTTTGTCTCAAGCCTTAACTTCCACTTTTGCTGCACAGTTTGATCTTTTAAAAGGAGTTGAAAAATATCAGCAGGACCAACAGGTAGAAAACTGAGTTACAGAGGGGACTCAGGCCCCATTCACATTTTGACGATTAGGAATCGCAGGCAGAATCGGTGCAATCCTGCTCGTGATTCCAAATCATGGCACAAAAGGCACTATGCATGTTTGGGTACCGTTCATCCTGAGTGACACAGCTGTTGTGATAAAATGTGCGAGTATCACAGCAAAATGCACATGTAAAAATGCACCTGGCTCAGTGAAAAGAGTTGATCCCCGAGCTCCTCTGGCGCAACAAATGCACATAGGGCAGCCCATTCAAGTGAAGGGGCTGCCCTCAGTACAACACTAGGAAATGTGTGTGAATTGCACTTTTCAAAACTCTAGCAAGAACCCAAATTCTTGCTAAGTGATATGTGAATGTGGCTTCAGAAAAATATAAAGACTGCTTTGTTAATTTTAGTGAAAGACTGCATCATATATGTAATTTTTGATTTTGCCTTTAGTACCACTTTAACTGTAAATAGAAGATATTTGCAGCTCAGAAGCCTTTAAAAAAATAAAAGGGTGAACAATCATTTCAACTACAGGAATTTTTTCATCCACAAAACAAAAATTTGAATTTGCTTGTAAATATGGGCGACAATGTAGTGTGTCCTGACTTGATTAGTACATTATGTGCCTGTATCAAGAACTGCAATGCTTACAAAAGCAAGTGAGACTGTCAGCCATTAGAAACAACTGTCCCTCCATTCACAGAACTCGATCACACTGGACTACAGGGGGGAGGGGGTTACTGATGAGCCCTTGTCCATTATCAATGCTTAGCTCCCCATACACATTGTAAACCTCTTGACTGAGCAAAATACTTGGATGACAAAATTGTTAATGTTGCTTTGCTCTTGACATATCCCGCAATGCTCTGTAAAATGTATGAAAGCATAATGAAGTCTACAAGAAAAGTCACCATGTAGCATCCCAAACTGTAGTAGGGAAGGAAGAGAATAATGTCTATTAGTTCTATATCACTGCATAGAACAATACCTGAAAGAGCTATAAGCAAACGCAAAGTACTGTAGTTGAAAGAACTGAATCTTCCAAAAGACTGTAGAGGAGCAATCTAAGAGGCACATATTTTTAGCCCTCTATTCGAAACCGAGAAGCTTCTTCTGGCCGTTTCACTGGGCAATGAAAAAAAAGCCAATGCCATGGGGACACCACATTTCAAGGCATCTCTTGGACAAAGTAAGTAGGGAGAGTACATGTAGGAAGAAGTCGCTTCTATATAAATGACTTCAGTTATCCACCACAGTCTTGACGAAGGTAGATCTTTTACAATTCTCAACAGATTGCCTCCATGGCACAGGCATTTTACGCTAGAAGGTCACAAGTCACCTGTCAGACAAAACTTGCTGGAAGACTGAAATAAGGCTTTGAAGAGGTTACATGGCTGGTTATATTTAGTGTTGAAACAGGCTGCAAAAGACCCAAGCCTCATATTTAAAGCACATTGCATATCAGCAGCATCACGAGAACCGTGGAAGACACGGAGATATTTTCCATCCTGCAGTCGCTGCTTCCTTGGAGATACAACCAGTTACAACTTTGATCACTTAGCTGCTCAGGCAGTTCTAGTTCTAGTTCCTGGGTCTCCTTCTGCAGTTGGTGGAAGAAAAGGATCCCCCTGACGTTCTTGTCCACACTGTCTTGGGTCCCTCCAGCACCAGGCCTATCTCAGGACTCAGAACATGGTCTCTTGATTCTTTAGTCAACACAAGAGCATAAAGTGAAACATCTGGAAGGCAACAGAGCAACAAGGCCATTTTTTTTCCAATGCATTAGTGAGTTTCTAGCAACGATGAAATGCCATGGACAGATAAAGGTTGGATGGCACTGCCTTTCCCCCCCCAAAAAAGCGAGAATCAAAAAGGGAATATGTAAGGAGTTTTTGTAAAAACAGGGATATAATAATTAAACAGCAGAGAGGAGGCCGAGTGCTCAGACAAGGAACACTGGGGAAGAACTCACCCACTGGCACCGTAATGGTAAACCTTAATGTATTCTGCATAGGCTGCATTGTGTGCGGTAGGGTGTGTGTTTCCATGTCTATTAGTGCACAAAGCCCATATTGTTCTTGCATGTGTGATGGTGTTAGTGATTTGACCTGATGGGTTTTCAATGTTAGTGCTTTAATCAGTTGGTATCTGTGGACTAAAAAAAAAAAAAAAAAAAAAAAAAAAAAATACTCCCTAAACACCCTTTACCGAACTTTAAAAACAAATATATATATGTATATATATTTATAATCCATATCCACCCCTTCTGTAATGGGGCTTAGTTATTATGCTCAGTCTCTGGGGCTGAGGCATCCCATTGGTTAGTTCTAGGTCCAGTGGCTGAGATACATCATCTGCTGGCCGCCTGCGACTGTGGTGACATGATGACATGAGACTGTAGGATCTGACTGTGGCCGTCTGTCCTTTGGCTGGCCATCTGTGTGAGCACTGATGTAGCCATGTGTTCAGCTGGAGAACGCAAACCATTAGGAGAGGCAGAGGACAATGAACTGTGCTGGCTGACTGGGCCTGGAGAGCCTGTTGCATCACAGCCATCCTTCAGGTTTTCTGAAAGAAAGAAAGTTAAAGAGTAAGCTGAAGCATTTACAGTATAGCGAAAACCCCTCCCCAAAAAAAGAAAGTACCTAGGTTTTAGGACAAACCTGATAGTTGTAACTACTGCACTGATGTTTAAAAAGACACCATCACTATCCCAAATTCAGAGCAAAAAAAACAGCAGCACACCCCCTCCAGCTCTTAGATTTAGAGCCACACTAAGCAGAAAGATAGGAGCAGAGGAAGCAAGGATTTTTGATGTGGAGAAGAAGAATCTACTGGGGACGACATACCAGAGTTCATTCTACATTACAAGCCGACCTCAATGCACTGTTTAATTGGGCAACTATGTGAAAAATTAGGTTTAATGTTGATAAATGTAAAGTTATGCACTTGTGGGCTAAGAAAATGCATGCATCATACATACTAGGGGTGGGTACAACTGGGGGAATCAATGGTGGAGAAGGATCTGGGAGTTCTGGTAGATCACAAGCTTAATAATGGCATGCAATGCCAAGCTGCGGCTTCTAAAGCGAGCAAAATCCTCTCCCTGTACCCCTGTACAAATCATTAGTAACACCTCATCTGGAATATGCAGTTCAGTTTTGGGCACCAATTCACAAAAAGAACATTGGGGAACTGGAGAAAGTACAGAGAAGGGCAACTAAACTGATAAGAGGCATGGAGGAGATCAGCTATGAGGAAAGATTAGAGGAACTGAATTTATTCTCTCTTGAGAAGAGGAGATTAAGGGGGTATATGATCAACATGTATAAATACATCAGTGGTTCATATAGTGAACTCGGTGTAGAGTTATTCACCCTGAGGTCATCACAGAGGACAAGGGGGCACCCTTTATGTCTGGAGGAAAAGAGATTTAATCTCCAAATACAGAAAGGTTTCTTCACAGTAAGGGCTGTGAAAACGTGGAACAGACTCCCTCAAGAGTTGGTTCTGGCCAGCTCAGTGAATTACTTTAAAAATGGCCTGGATTCTTTCCTAGATACACAGAATATAACTGGTTACTAACATTTATAGGTAAAGTTGATCCAGGGAATATCCGATTGCCTCTTGGAGGATCAGGAAGGAATTTTTTTCCCCTGCAGGAGCAAATTGGATCATACTTTGCTGGGTTTTGTGCCTTCCTCTGGATCAACTGTGGGTATAGGATTATAACTATTTTTTTATGGTTGAACTGGATGAACTTGAATCTTTTTTTCAGCCAAACTATGTAACTGTGCAAGATTATGTAATATATTGGACAGCATAAAGGGTACTGGGGTCAGGATTTTGTAACATACCTTGTAGATTACAGATTTAAAACAGCTATTCTCTGCATAGAGTGCTATATGTTACACACCTCTGTCGGTCGTATGTTACATATTGATGGCTGCTGGACTATAATGCTGCACTCACTATGAAGGTTTGCATGTTACATATCCTTGTACACTCTGTATGCTGGGTTACACATTGCATACTCTTCAACACTGCACTGTATGCTGTATTTTATATTACATACTACTAACCACTGCACTCTGTACACTGGGCTATACATTACATAATCCGAACAACTGTGTATGCTGAGAGTCCACCAGTCAGGAGTTTGTAAAGTACACAAGCATACAGGATACAGAGATCAACAGTCAGAAATTATTCCATATTCAGTAGAGGATGCAGTGGTCAGCAATATGTAACATACATTCTTGTGTAAGAACAGCAGAGGTCAAGGTTATATATATATATATATATATGTCTGTGTCTCTATAAAGCAACCCCCACAACCCCTGACGCATATACTCACCTCTCTATTGATTCCAGGTCAATCCTTCCTTTATAACAGCTTCCACCAAAATACTAAGTGTATGTTGGAGCCTAGAGGGAGCAGAGATGTTACCCCTTCTGTCATGAAACAGTAGTTGGACCTAGGGTCTGGCCATTAGACCCTAGGTCATGGGTGCTCTACCTGTGGCCCTCCAGCTGTTGCAGAACTACAAGTGATACGAGGCATTGCAAGGCTGACAGTTACAAACATGACTCCCAAAGGCAGAGGCATGTTGGGACTTGTAGTTCCGTGACAGCTAGAGGACTACAGGTTGAGCACCCATGCCTTTGGTAAGGCATCAAAGTAGGAGGTTACATCCTCACCTATGCCTGGAAGAACCTGGAATTTTGCGCCAGCTGCATCAGAGGCAGGAGTGGCAGGGAAACCGCTAGAGGGGTAAGTATTGGTGGGTCTGCTTTACACAGATACTTTCACTTTGCCCTATTTGTCCAAAGTGACACGGTTTCTTTAAATGCATTCCTATACGTTTGATAGAAATGTAAAAACATGTTAGAAAGGTGTGGGGAGATAACATTTGGTGCCACACTCACCAAGATACACCTGGTTCTTCTTTTGCAGGGCAGTTACAGGACAATCCTTATGTGCCAAAAGCAACTGCTTTAGTTGGGCTACCTCATTTCGCAGAAGAGTTACCTCGTTCTACAGGTGGAAACACGAAGTTAATACATTGCAACCACTGTGAATAGCACAAAATGTCTGTGTGTACTCTTTTCTTTACAGGACTTACACTTAGCTGCACATTCTGAGACGTAAGCTCCTCTGCCTTTTTCTCCAGTGAGCACACCCAAACCTTGCGCTTCTGACGGCAGCGGGATGCAGCTGCTCTGTTTCTCTCTAGGAAGCGCTGTCGGCGTTCATCTGGATCTTCATCTGCTGCTCTCCTCCTTCTACCTCCTGTGCTTGGAGTGGGCTGTGCAGGAGATACCTGTAAAGTAGATAAAGAAACACTAAATACACAGTTTAAAGCCAATCTTAAATCCCTAAACAGGGCATTATTATAGTCTTTAGCACTTAAAGCTCGTCTGAGCCAGGTAAAAATTCTTAAAGCAAACCGGTTATGAAAGATACAAGATGACGGTCACTGCTGGTTTCCAAAAAATGTTAGTTGCATGTATAGAACATAATTCACCCTCTTTGATATGGAGTGTGACCATAAAGCATGTAAAATCAGAACTTTTAATATGCCTACTTCAGTATTTACAGTCATGTAAAAAAGTAAGTTCACCCCATAAAAATGGTATTTTAACATATCTAAACAGACAAACATTTGATGTTAATTGCCTACAGAAAAAGGTGATATACGTAAATAAATTACACAAAATTTAAATAGTGTATTTGTTCTCATAATCTCAATGAATTAAAATGCAGATTTGTCACATGGAAAAAAACAGGCATTTTAACTTACCTGTAAATTCGTAAATTCTTTATCTCAGAGCAGTGGTCTCCAAACTGCGGCCCAGAGGCCAGGTGTGGGCCTTTGCTTGCTTTTATCTGGCCCTTGGGTAATCACCATTCCCCCAACTGACACCAATGATAGGCCAAAGCAGACTTTTGTAAGTTGATTCCCCAACTGAAAGTCTAAGCTTTAAATCTGGAGAGTTCTCTGAATATTTGCAGACAGTTCTGAGGGAGATGAATCCTTCAGAAGGTTATCTAGTTATCCAGTAACCTGGATGCCCTAAGTTCTTAAATTGGAAGGGTTTGTCCCATACTACAGGAAGCACCAATGAGAAGGGTAAAAGGGAACATGAATGTAGGCATTTTGGAATATCTACTGGTGCCAAGTATTTCCTTTGTTTCAGAGAATAAGTATGGGTGGGAGACAGCAATGGACTGGGTCAGGTTTCTAAGTGAAGGGTATAGAGTTAATAACTTCCAATGGGTTGTATCCCAATTGGAGGTGGTATGTGATAAACGCCTTTGGTATCTAAGGCTGCTACTTTCAGATAACGACAATTTGGCAGTTACCGCAGGGAACACTTGGGTGATTTTAGAGGAGCACCCGGTGTCCAGAAAAACGATTACAAACATTAAAAATAAAAGAAACCAAAGAGAGCCAATGTGTTTCCTTCTTCAGGGCTGTATTTCTTTGTGAATAGTTAGGCCCTGAAAGATGGTTAAATAAATTCAATAAACAGTTATGCAGCATGCCAGCATGTGGTGGAGCATAAGCAACAGAAAAAAATACAGAGATCCCTGTACTAACACAAGCGATCTCCCCCACTGTCTTTGTGTTCTGACCCCACTCCCACCAGAACACACTGATCAGCGCCTTGAGCTATTGGCTGGTTTTCCAGCATGCCCATTTGACTGAAGCCTGTCCTGAGACTGACTTCTGTAGAACAGACAGCTGTACGCATGGGCCGAAAATCGGCCTGTGTGTACAAGGCTTTAATACCCAGAGGGGTCTGTCAAGGCTCAAGTGAGTCTGAGAAGAATCAAGTGAGACTATCCTGAGGCTTTTTCACACAGAAGTGGCATATCTATATTGTAAAGCATATTATGTGAAGCAATAGCATTGGATGCAACACTGCCTCCTGGTCTTCTTCAAAGTTTTCCATGTCTATCTCCTTTAAGGGAATTATAGTTCCATTTCCAACTCTGGGATAGATAGTGCTTTTGGAATCTGGAAATAGTTGTCAGAGCAAATTCTGACATCGCTGCATAGAAATCTGCCTTGATCATATAGGCCACTTATTGCATGCCTTAGATAGAGCTATAGAGCAAGAATCAGAAGCAGAGGTCGGTGTTAAAATAGGATCCTGCACCACTGAAGATACACCTTTCTGAGCAGTTTGAAAGCTTTGCAGCCCATCTACAGATTAAACGCTGTCTGTGCCTTTGCCATGATTCCCTTTTATATGGTTTCCCGCATTACTATCAGACCTCTTCAGGAGTATGCCTACAAGAATGCTGGGGGGAGTAGGGGGCAGTAATGGGGTAAGTGTGTCCTGAGAAGGATACACAGCAAACCAGGTGTTGACCATCCTGTAACCAAGTCCTCATTGCAAAAGGGCAGGAGGAAGTGACTGAATACCCTATAAAGGCTCTGCCGGGAGAGGTATACACCCAGAGGATTCTTCAGTCTGTGAACTACAGGAATGGACCATAGCCCTGAACTTGTATAGCACCCTGCATCTAAGTACACATGTTACAAGTGCCATGGTGAGCACCCAAGCAGGATCCAGTGCCTGAAACAACATTAAAATCTGTCATCATAGCATGGGGTCAGATTTCCAAGGTTTAACTGAGGTTGCACCAAACTGGTTGCACTGCTACTACCGTTACAATAGGAAGCAGTGAAGATTTGATTAAAGAATTCAAACTCAATAAGAACTAGATAAGCATATAAACTCCTCTATAACGGAAAAAGAGGTTCATCACCTACAGAACACAAGCAAAAAACTCACCAAGTAGAGTAAAATTTAAAGGATATGCCCAAGGGGGAGGGGTATTCTAAAAGCTTTGACATTGTCCAATGACCTGAAATTAGCAGCCTATAACCCATTGCCTCCGAATATCCGTGTCGTGTACTGTACAATATATATGTTTGGGGGTTTAACTAATCTATATGCCTAAAATGTGAATTTTAACACGTGCAAAATCAGCTCTGGTGGTAAACAGGTCAATTTACAAAGCAACCTAAGCAATAAGTACAACTGATAACTGACCTGTGGCTGTGCAGGGGAAGGGGCATCTGGATGCTGGACCAATATCTGGCTTTGCTCAGGCCTTGATGCCACCATAGCCATTCCACCATTAAAAGATGATGGGACTTGGTGAGTAAGTGAGGCTTTAAGTCTCTGCAATGAAAACCAGGTGAGGAAATTAAGACAAACAGAATAAAGCCAAATCAAAATATCTTCTTTATAACATCATCGTGCTATCTAGTCGCTTACCATTTTGGCTTCTGAATGAACTGAAAGTCCTGATGGAGAAATATGGCCTGCACCACCAATAAGCGGAGGACCGGGAATTCCTGGGATATTGGGCACCATGGTCATTGGTCTTGCCAACTGAGCCAAGTTAACACAAAAACAAGACTGGTCAGTGGAACCAATGTTCTCTGCATTTAATACCACAACAAATCAGACAAAGGTCTCCTTACCGATATTACAGATGGCATTTGTACATGTGGACCAGGAAGGAAAGGGACAGCCTGGCCATTACCCAGGTTCATCATAAGAGGGACTGAACTGCCTGGGGAACTGAAACACAAGAAAAATTTTACAATAACGCAGTAAGGATAGAGATGCTTACAGCACAGTGATTTAAGGTAGACTGACACTTAGACATGAAACAGAACTCTGTTTTAGTATGAGCAATACAAGGGAGTGGAGAAACAGAACATAAGGAAGAAAAGAATGATGAACACACTGGTGGTTAAGAAATTAAAGGATAGTGTGTGAAAAGCAGATAGGGTGAAATGCACACAACTACAGCTTCCTTACCCTAGCTGTCTGTTGGACGGAGGGGCTTGTGTGATGACAGATGTGGGTGAAGGAAGTGTAGGGTGCAAAGGATCGTATCCCAGGTGGAGAGGCAGAGAACCAGGCCGAACTATTGTAGGAGTGGGCGTTGAGCTGACCTGCGGCTTTGGTGGCACCTTTACCAGAGTGACATAATAAACATAATCACTCAAGCTACCGAAGATCATGCATAGTAATACTATAGTGTGGCCAAAAGCACAAATTATCCCACAATGACTTGCAGTGGTCTGCAATTAAATCTGTGTGTATGTATGTGTGTAATATATATATATATATATACACACATATATATATACATATATATATATACACACACACACACACACACACACACATTTTTTTTTCTCACGTAACATGTACTCTTATTCATAAGCAACAAATAAACCATACACTGCATAAATATGTAAATTGCAGAGAGCTGTCCCACACAAAACTGGCCCTCTAGGCTTATATACATCTGTTCAGTGGGGGAATCAACACAGACAGATCCACCCACTTTCTGCAGCCCATGAAAAGCTTCACAGCTTATAATTATGTTACATTACAGACATAGCAGTGACAATAGGATTCCATTGGTGGGGTGGCTAACTCCAGGCAGCAATCCAAATAATACATTCATAACTCAATGTGTATGTATAGCCAAACCTTTTTTTCAGTTTCTGATAAGAGTATGTATAGATTTATAACCTCTGTCTCTCTAGTTGTCCTGGTAACCAAAGTCACAGAGACAGAAAATGATGAGAAATCTGACATTTTACATTTAGCATCAGAACAGAAGGCGAGGTAAAATCTTTCATTTGACCACAGTTTCCTTCGACAATTGTCTACAAGGCAAATTGGCCTGATTTTGTGTTGTGTTACAAAGAAAGAAAGTGAAGAGAATTCTCCCCAGCTTTGCTTACTTTGTCTACAACTAAAATGTTGGCTATACATATACTTTAAAAGTGACTTTCTGTGTTTGCAGCCAAATTTGGAGGACATCTACTTTATACTTGTTACATTCTCCCATTACATAGCATACTTTTAAAAATTAACATAAAAATTAAAAACATTTAAAGTGATGATAAAAGTTAGATTTTTTTTTAAATAACAAACATGTCTATACTTATCTGCTTTGTGCATTGGTTTTGCACAAAGCAGCCCCAATGCTCCTCTTCTCAGGTCCCTTGCTAGAGCTCCTGGCCTCTCCCTCCATAACAGCTTGCTATGGGTGCACCCGAGCAGGCTCCCTCCTAAGCCACTGCTCTGTGTGTCCATTCACAGACAGACATGGCTTGGACCGCTCCCACGCTCTCACCTCATTTGCTCAATGGATGTAAATGACAGTAGTGGGAGCCAACGGCTCCCGCTGCTGTCTCAGCCAATGAGGAAGGAGAGACCCAGGACAGCATCAGGTCTCTTTCACATTGTTGGATTGAGATGGGGCTCAGCTATTCTGGCGGGTTGGGGGGAACCGCACACATGTGGTTTTGTACCTTCATGCACAGAATGCATGAGGGTAAATAAACCCTGAGTCTTTACAACCACTTTAACCTGATAGCACCGAGCGAACACAAATATGCATCCATATCTGTGTACTCAATGTAAACAAAGGATGCGCTGAGAGTACGCGCCCTTACGTGCTCCCAATCACTACTTTCAGACGGGAGCTTTCCGATCATGTGATCACTGTGACAACCAATCATGGCACTCACATGACCCTAAACCCCGTCCTGACTCTAGGTGTCACACACAACGGGAGGCGCCGACGCCAAGGGGTTACTAATTGCAGCTTACTTTTTTTTTTTTCACTGCTTGCAGCCTACCTACTTTTTAAGTCCCACCAAGCTATCCTCTATTGCTTCATGTTAAGGAAAGGGCTGGAAAGCTGTGTTTAACATAATTAACCCTGCCTGTGTTGTGCTGATCAATCTCATTATCAGTTGTAAAACAGATGTGACAATATCTGTCATAAGCAAAGGTTAAAGATTTCAAGGCATTGTATGATAATGCATTTTAAGAAAATGTCCCTACTTCTGTCCATTATCTTCACATTGACATTCTTTCAAAGCAATAGAAGGTGCCCGTAGAGTCTAATGTATAAATCTGCTTAAAAAAAAAAAAAACAACTAGGCAGAAATATTCTTAAAAGATTATTTTTAGGTAAGCTGTGTGAATGGGAACACACATCAGACATATAGTAGGGGTTTTTCAATTTTGACTGCAAAAGGGGAAATACACTATTTTAGTGAAATCAAAACAGTGCTATACAAAACCCATTTTACTGAAAATCCATCTATAGAAGATGGCTATAAAATAGGGACGCACTGAAATTTCAGGCCACCGAAACAAATCGGCTGAAAATTGCTCTATCAGCATTTTGCCAATAGAAAAAATTTAGCGATACAGGTGCCGATACAGGAGACTGAGTGTGGGATTGGGAGGGGGGGGGCGGCTGAGAAAGGCAGAAGCAGAGCAGTGTATACAGTGACTGCCAGGTTTTAAATATAATTGCCAGCTTTTTTTTTTCTTCTTCACTATAGCTCACAGAATCAGCTGTCACTTTCCAAGAGTTAAAAGAAACAAAGTTTCCTTTTAGTTTTTTTTCCCCCCAGATAAAAGAAACAAAGCTTCCTTTAACTCCGGGGAAAGTGACAGCTAATTCTGTGAGCTTTAGTGAAGAAAATAAAAAGCCAGCAATTGCATGTAAAAACCTGCAATGACATATAGTGACAGCCTGGGAGGGAACCTCTCTGTATACACTGCTCCCTCACTGTATAGACTGCTCCTCTCTTGTCCCCTCCTTGCACACACTGCCCCCTACAAAGAGGATCTGTCACTCAGATGCTATCCCATAGGGGACTATTGGTCCCTATGTGATAGCAATAAAACCATAAGTTTAAAGAAAAAAAATATATACATGAAAGTAGAAAAAAATACAAAAAAATGGGAGCTTCCCCACCCGCATATATGCAGACATTTGGGTTTTGGTTTGGTTTTAAGTCACATGCATTCTGAATTTTCGGTATTGACATCAGAATTTTCATTTCGGTGCACCACTACTATAAAGGTCATGAATATATTACCTATAAAAGGAAAATTTAAAACGGAACTACACGGCATCTAAACATCACAAACTATAAACTCTATTTCATCTATTTTCAATATTCAAAGCAAACATCTATCCATGTCCCCATTTGCTTTATTTTGCTAGCAGCATTTCTGGTCATGGCCTTCTTGAGTTGGGGCAGAGGATTCATGCAGCATTTACTTCTTGGAATCCTTCTGTCCTTAGCTCAAGCATGCAGGAATGAGGGTGTGCTTATCTGAGAAAACCTCCCCTCCCCAGGACTGGGATGTATGACAATTTGCCTAGAAACCAGGAAGTAACTGAAGAAATGTAAAAAAAAATAAAATAGTTTAGGACATGAAGTAAACATGATATACTCTCCTATCCATTTAAAATAGTCAATGTTGATTGAGAGCGTGAGGTTCCACTTTATTCAGAATAGGCTTCCTATTTCTAAACTTAAAGTATAGGCATATTTGCCACACCTTCTCCTCTGCTGATGAGCTTGGACTGTCTGGAGGGGAAGAATCCACTTCAACTGGCTCCTCTTCTTTGATTTTAATGTCAGGAGTTGAAGGTAAAGACATATCCAGTGGTCCTGCACTCTATAAACAAAACACAGCATAGCAGAATATAAAACAACTCCAATACAGTCAGCATTCATGTCAAACACATACTTTTTTTTTTATAAACATAGACACACTGTATTTTTCAATTAGAACATCAAATTGTTTAGGCCTTAAAAACATGGAAAACTAGATTGACATCACTGTGAAAAGGTTGCTCTCCTGAGTTTTATGCCAGGATCAACCGGTAACTTTACCAGTAGAGTGCAGAAAGTGCTGTACACCTTAACCTGCAGTGCTTTCGATTTTACAATACTTGATTCTTGATTTTGGGCATATATACACACACTAACTGCTAATTGGGTATCTCTTTTTTAGTCTGCACTAGCAAACAAAGTTGGACTCCGATTGGCATCTAAGGGCAACGATCTACCATTTTATCTTGTGGGCAAATACGTCTGTAGGCAAATGAAGCGAAAAAAACAGAGTCATCTTTAACCACTTGCCCTCCAGTGGATTTACCCCCCTTCCTGACCAGGCCATTTTTTTGCACTGTGGCACTTTAACTGAAAATTGCGCAGTCATGCAACGCTGCACCCAAATGAAATTTATGTCTTTTTTTCCCTCACAAACAGAGCTTTCTTTTGGTGGTATTTGATCGCCTCTGCGGTTTTTTTTTTTTTGTGCTATAAAAAAAAAATACGTAATATATATTTTTTTTTACTTTTTGATATTAAACATGTCCAGTTTACGTGAAATTTACAGCGTCTACAAATGGCGGTATAGATAATGGATTTTTTTTTTTTTTTTTAAATATTAGTAATGGCGGCAATCAGCAACTTATAGCAGGACTAAGGCGGGCATTCTGACACTGGGGGGGAAACGGTCAATGACATCCCCAGTGACACCATTACAGTGATCAGTGCTAATAAAAATCACTGACTGTGCAGGAAGGGGATAACATTTGGGTCGATCAAAGGGTTAACTGTGTGCTTTACACTGTAAGCACACTGCTTTGTATGGCTCTGCTATGCAGAGCCATACAAAGAAGTGTGCAGGAGCTGACAGAGGAGAGATCGGTATTGTTTACATACAGGTCTCTCCGGCCAGGACCCAGTGATTGACAGGTGAGGCCGGCAATGGCAGAGCGGGTAGGGCTCGCACGTGCCACTACCCAGAAATGCAAAAACTTGCAAATTTATGTGATTTTACACACCCTTGCCGCCCTGTAGCAGTATTTCTGCTATACGGCAGCGAGAGGGGAAAGCGGTTAAGGATCTAAGTATTTGAAGGAAAAAGGTTTTTGTTCATCACAGCACCAGATTCTCAGATTTTCAACATCCCAGTGCAATTTGGAAAAAAGAGATGCAGAATATAACCATGTTTGTCTAGAAATGTTCTTCTGAAAGAAGCATTAATATACAAGGGAGGCTAGATGGACAGCAGGTGACAGACCTCCTAGACCTCTGTCAAATTACTTGCCTGGACTTGATGCAATCCTCCTCGTGAATACACAAGCATATAATGCAAAGGGTTCAATCAATGTATCAAACAAAATGCTATAATCATTCACACACTTCCTTTTATCAGCATCATCCAGAGTGTTTACCACCCTAGGGCCCTTGCTCCAGTATTTTTTGATTTAATCTTAAAGCCAAACACTAACCAAAACAGTTTATTTGTATTGATTAGAGTAGGGAAAGGTCATTTTTATTGCTATCGAAGTCCCTTATGGCAATGGTTTTCACCAAGCTGTGGCCTGCTGCTCGGCTGTTGCTTTCCTGGAAGGCTAACGGCACTTTCACACTGATCCTAGAAAAGACGTGGTAAAAACACTATGCATTTTTGCCACAATTTTACAGCGATTGCAGTGTGTTTTTCACAGGGAGTGACTTAGTGCATCAAAAACGCAACACAGGTGTGTTTTTGCAGCGTTTTTTAATGCAATTCAATGGAGTGGTGTGTGTTTTTTTTTTTTTAACTACATAAGCCCCAAAAATGCAGCAAGCAGGATTTTTTACACCGCAACGGAAATGTAATAGACCAGTGTGAAGGAATACACAGAAAAGTATTTTTCTTCAGCTTTTCTTGCGCTTTATTTTTAAATGCAAAAGCACTTCAAAAACTCCTGAGTGTGAAAGCAGGCTAAGGCTGGTGGCAACAATTTTACTTTCGAGAACAACTCCTGCCCACTGAGCTGTATCCTTTCATAGTCTAAGGCGACCATTACCTTCTCTCTGTAGGCTGTACTGCATGCTTGACAGCGGAGAATAACTTGCACCTATTAGATAGTCTGGTTGAAAACAAGTCCATCCAGTTCCACCAATAGAAGGGGGAAAAAAATTATATACAATCCTATACCCACGGTTAATCCAGAGGAAAACAAAAAAACTAAACAAAACCCAAATAAAGCAAGATTCAAATTTGTTCCAGCAGTAGAAAAAAATTCCTTTCTGATCCCTAAAGAGGCAATTGGATAATCCCTGGATCAACTTTACCTATAAATATTAGTATCCAGTTAAGAGTGCTCAGCATAAATGAGTACACCCCTTTTGAAAAGTAAGATTTTAATCAATATCTCAACGAACACAAGAACAGTTTCCAAAAGTTTGCCAAAACTGAGTTTTATAGAACATTTGTAAGTTTAATAATATAACTTAGATTATAAAATCTTCAGTTTTACTCAAATTAGTTGATGCAAAAATGAATACACCCCACAACAAAAACTTATACATCTAGTATTTTGTATGACCTCTATGATTGGTAAGGAGAGCACTTCTAGGCATGAAGTCTACAATTCTTCTGAACATGAAATGAACAAGTTGGCGACATACTGCAACATCTATCTTTTTCCATTCACGACCTCTTTTAGAGCCTGGGTACTGGATGGGGAGTGATGATCAACGTGTCTCTTCAGAATTCGTTGGTGTTCGATTGGTTTCAGATCAGGAGACATACTTGGACACTGAATCACTTTCACCGTTCTTCAGAAATGCAACAGTGGCCTTAGATGTGTGTTTCGGATCATTGTCATGTTGGAAAAGTGCATGACAACCAACAGCATGGAGTGATGGTAGTATCTTCTCTTTCAATATAGAGCAGTACATCTGTGAATTCATGATACCATCAATGAAATGCAAACTCCTTGACACCAGCAGCACTCATGCAGCCCCATAGAAGGACACTGCCACCACCATGTTTCACTGTTGGCACCATGCATTTTTCTTGTACTCCTCACCTTTGAGATACCATACAGTTTTGACGCCATCAGATCCGAAAACATTCATCTTGGTCTCATCACTCCAGAGTACAGAAGAGTCCCAGTAGTCTTCTTCTATTTCAGCATAAGCTCTGGCAAATTCTAGGCAGGCTTTTTTGTGCAAGGGCTTTAGGAGAGGCTTTCTTCGTGGACAACACCCATGCATGATATTCCTCTGCAGTGTAAGCGTATTGTATCACAGGAAACAATCTCCCCAGTTTGGCTTTCTACTTCTTTAGCTAACTGAAGTGAACTTGCATAGCAGTTCAACCCTTCTGAACAGAAGACGTTCCTGTTGAGGTGTTATCTTTCATAGACGGCCTTGTAGTCTCTGTAAGATGGTTCCAATTCCATCTTTGTTACAGTTTTGTAACAATTTTGCTACAGTATTCTGACTGATAAGTAAAGCTTTGCTGATCTTCTTGTAGCTTTCACCTTTCTTGTGTAAAGAAATTATTTTCTGAGGGCTTGTGACATTTCTCTTCCATGTGGTGCCACTGCTGACAGCATGAAATGGGAAGGGGATTTCTTTGTTAATTAAGGCCCTTTTATAATCAACTGTCTGCTGAACACCTGTTTAATAAATTAGACTCACCTGTAGTTGAATTCTTGTTAATTAGGATTTTGTTGTCAACAATTTAGCTTTGCTCTAGGACACACTTAAATTTTCTTATTTGCTGCACCTGATGGATTACAAGTGCGAGGCATTCAGCCTCCTAGATTCCCATATAAACCAGACTTCTTACTCATTCTCTCTTCCACCATTGCCTGTCTCCTTGACAAGAATATTGCTGAGGTAAATGAACATTAAGATAGACATAAAATTTATTTCCCTCCTTCATTTGGGGGATCTCTTAGACCATTTTTGTTTGATATTCCTAGTTGTGCATAGATGCCTTACTGGCTCCCTAGCGTTGCATATACTTACTGGGGGAATCAGTATTAGAAACATGGTGTTAATAAGGCATTAATCATTGGACTCCTGGATCCTCACAATGTTTGGTTACTTATATCTTTTATGGAATTGTATTTATCCACAGACCCTAGTGTGGGGGATAAACAGCAAGGACGATTTACGCAAGTGCAGATTTCATGACCTTCTATCTCGTTGCATCTGGGTGTCTTAAGGCCTCCTTTTTAGTCTTTTCTTTCCTTCTATTTTTCATCTACTAGGTAGGTGTATATTTTTGGACATAATTAGGAACTAATTATAAACAAAGACCTCATGATTTTTTTTTCCAATTGTTTTCTTATTCCTTTGCTGGTCCTTAGGCAATCCCAGAGTCTGCTGGTGGGTGACTTTCTGGGTTTTTGGGGGAATTTTCATCCCCCTACCCAAAAAAGGAGAGGTATGGGATATGGTGATATATGGCCCCATTGGTTTCCGATGACCCTCTCTTACTCCGATGGTGCTGTGAGTATAACATGTTAGATATATATATATATATATATATATATATATATATATATATATATATATATATATATATTTTTTTTTTTACATTGTGCAAAGGAAAAAAGGAAGAAAGAAGAAAACCCTATTTCTTCCATACCAATGTATGGGAGAAATAGGGTTTTCTTCTTTCTTCCTTTTTCCTTTGCACAATGTAAAAAATATATATTCTTAATTTTGCTACAGATCTTATCATATTGTATGCAGAGTTAACCCTGAAGAAGGAGCTGTGCCTCCAAAACGCATGGTTACTCGGTCCAGAGTCTCTGCTTGTATAATACAATGTTGTACCATCAGTTTTTTGTAACA